GGGCAAATGGGGCTTCACCCCCTGGCTGTGCCCGGGTGCTTGAATCCAGCCCGCTCTTCTGCAGCAGCCCGCTGGCACTGGTGCTGACTGGGGTGCTGGCGCTCACCGGCCTCTTCTTCGTCATCTTCTTCGTAAGCGGAGTGAGCCACTTCCAGGACCCCCTTTTCTGTGGTGAGTCCACCCTGGGGGTGTGAGGAGTGATCCCGTACCGGGGACAGGGAGCGGAGATCTGGGATTTGGGGAGAGCCGTGGGACCCGCTCGGAGCTGGTTTGCTCTCCCGCAGGGTTTATGTTGTTCTCCTTCACCTCCATCGTCGACTCTCCCTGGAGGAGGATGGCTACATTTCTGGCTTCATGGAGGTCTACGTCAGAGAGGTAGCCCTCACCCCACCTCGGGCTCTCATGCAGGAACAGCCCTGTTCACCCAGGGCAAGCACAGAGGATGCCCCTGCTCCCGAAGGTGCTCCTGCCGCAGGGGCACTGTGCACCGAGCAGCCCCGGCTCCTGCAGGGTCCCCTGGGCAGGTGGGATGGGAAGGGGCTGCCCCCCAGCCCGGTATGATCTGTTACCTCCCCAACGGTCAGGGCGAGCCCTACCTGCGCACGGCGCACGGCATCATGATCTGTTACTGGGACGGCATCATCCACTACGGGCTCTACCTCGCCATGATCGCGGCCATCGGCCAGAGGTGAGCGGGGACCAGCGCCCGGGGGGGGGCCTGAGGGGGTGGGAGGGTTCTTGGATTTTATGAGGAGGGGAGCTCCGAGCCTGGCGGAGGGGTCTGATCCTGACGTCTCTGCAGAAAGAGCTACAGGAACTTGGGTCTCTTCTGGCTGGGCTCTCTGATGATGAGCATCGTCGTCTTCCTGCTCGGGAACATGATAGGTAGGGGGATGCGGAGAGGGGCTCAACTCCATGTCCAGCCCTCGCTGATCCCTCCAGGCACTCTCTGTCCAGCGGATTTGCTCCCAGGCACTCGCCACGTGGGCAGAGGAGGAAGGTGCTGACCTGGGGGCAAGCGGCAGGTACCGATACCGGGCGTTGAGCACTCCACTGTGCCTATCCCGCACTCTCCTTCCCCAGGGAAATACAGCTCCGACCTCAGCCCTGCCTTCCTGCTCAACCTGCCCTACATCCTCAT